GGCAGTAATCACAGACTCTCTCCAGCTCGTCGGGATTTCACTGAACATTAGCGAAGCATTTAATATCATGCAAATTGGTTCATAGACAATTTGTGGAATGCCATCGGAAGGTATTGAAGTGGAGCTCTTTAGTGATCTCAATATTTTGCGCACTTCATCTGGATTTACGGTACATTCTCTAAGGGTATTCAAGCGTTCACAGGTACCAATGATCGCATTGACGTCAATGCTTTCTCCTTTGGTAAAAACAGATGAAAAGAACAATGCTAGAGCTTCCGCTTTTTGAGCATCAGTGACAAATCGATTGCCAGCTTCATCATGGAGTACGGGCGTGCATGCTATTACATGGTTTAAATTTATATTTAATCAACGCAAAAATTGTTTTGTTGTGGCAGTTCGTATTCCTACGTCTTTCTCTGTTAGACAAGAATCTCCTCAAATGAAAATCAAGATCACAGCATATTTTGTTATACTGGAGGGTCAACAAGGGGTGTCAACGCAGTATAATCGGCCTTGGCAAAATTCGGTAATGGGAGCGCACTAAATGTAGAAGTAGACGTAAGGATTTCAAATGATATTACACTGTGGTCAGACATTGCAAGAGGCGGAATCACCGAAACGTTCTTAATTATTGGGGAATTCGATAATATAATGTCTAGAGTTGACTTGCCACGTGTGGGCGTTTTGACATTTTGAGTAAAGCCACAGCACTGGAAAAATTCAAGAAACTTGGAGGAGCTTGGGTTCCTAGCCTTGTTTGTTTTCCAGTCAACATCAATGTTAAGATCACCGAGTACAATCAAATGCCTAGGAAAAATGCAATGGTTAAGGAGAAAATCAATAAGACTCATATCATCTTCATAGGAAGAGCTGGGCGGTCGATACACTAGTATGATTCTAAACTGTACAGAGCAAGCCATATCGAAACCTTCAAGACAGAGCAGTTCAGAGTTGAGGGAGGATGTGGTGTCAATCAGTGCAAGCACGATTGAAATTTTGGCTATGCAGCAAACACCTCCGCCTTTACGGCCTTTACGATCGAGACGATAGATTGTATAGGGGCGTGCACCGAGAATTTCAGAACTTGATATTTTAGATGATAGCCATGTCTCAGTAATGAAAACTATGTCTGGATTGTGTATGTCTAGAAAGAGTTGCAAATGGTGTATTTTATTGCATAAGCTTCTTGAATTCATCAGAAAGCATCGGATACCAAGGAGTGAACCGTGACCGTTCAGACGTTTCCCGAGTTCCGCGTATTTGGAAGCTCGTAGAAGTAGACGTAGATGCGTGCGTGGATGCTGAGTCAACTGCATCATATTCGGCTTTGTACGGGATTCATTTTACTGTCTAGTTTTTTTTTCTTTCTCTAGTTAAATAACTTACTTTGAGAAAGGAACAAGTAAAAGAAGGGAAGACAAGAAGTATAGATAGCATGCGACCAACACAGGGAGGGGGGCAATAAAGACATGTTGCCCATGACGCACTTCGGCTCTTTTTTCTTCGCTGAGACTGTCGTCGTTGAAACTTTCGAAACTCGCTGTTCAGTGAAGGTCGTTATGGTACACGACCCTTCGAAACAAGATTATAATGTTCCCTTTGGGCGCTCACGTACAGTAACCTTACACGCGAAAAATTAGCCGTCATGTTTGATGTTATTAGTGCGCGCACACACCAGGCACCCTACCATACGCGCAAATTTGGCTGTTATGGTTCGATTTCCGTTCGAGAATGTTCTTTTTTATCGATTGACCGTGACGACGTGACGAACGACCGGACAACAGTTGACACATACCTAATGCTGTGCGACCGTTCCGATCGTTACGATCGGAACGATTATGAATGCGCCCGATACAAGGATACATGAGGTGTTAGACTTTTCGAAATAAGTTGGACGACACCCCTCTGGATTCTGCCTGTCGGTGCGATCACAGAGATTGTGTGCAATTTCTTCTTGGCAGTGGTGCCAATGCTTGGATATGAAATCGTGATCAAGTCTGCCCGTTGATGTGCCCAAGGTTAGCAGAGAATGATCTTTGAAGGCATATGTATATATATTGATTACATCCAAAAATCAGAACTAGCGCTGTTTTCATACTCGTTCATTTGTCTCAGAAGTTGCTCTTTTATCAGTGACAGTAAAAGGTCATTTCCAGAATGCTGAAATCGCTGGCATGCTTGACCAAGGAATGAGGAGAGGCGCAAGGAATGAAAATTGCGGAAATGAAACTGGATCTGGTCATAGAATAATTTAAAAAAAAAAAAAACCCAGTATTCATATTCAAGTTTAAACAATTTATGACAATGTAGCAAACTGTACTACAAAACTAGCTTAATAGTGCGAGGAATCGTTGGAGAATAGCACTGTGCTAGTGATTGAAACTCATATAATTAGGTGTTCCGACGTCGCTTTGGCCATCGCCACGTGCGTACCAAAATTGGATTGGACCAGGGTCGAACTTGGAGCATTCCTTCGGGAACCTACAAAAGAATGTTACACTTTGATTTTGAGAATGTGAGCAGAAAGGCGAAGATCTCATAACTTGGGTTTTGAGAGTAAAGTAGAAGAAAAATCTGCACTTCAATCTATGAGGGTGGTTCAAATCAAAAATCAAAACATGAACATCAACCAACCCAGTATGAATAAAATCTCTGCGATCATGGTGAACGAGTGAATTCCTGACGGGTGATGCTATAGTAGAAACATGGTCCACAGAGCATGTCCTCCGCCTGAAAAAGGTTCGCAATTCATTGAAAGGCATCGGTTCAGATAAATGGAATCACTCACGAAATGCTGCTGCAACGATCGTAAGAAGGCACAAACTCACTGAAGAAAACTAAGCTTGAAATCAGTAACTGTTTGTGGAGCAGCTACCGAAGCCAAAGTATGAAGTAATAATTTCTCTCGATCCTTTTTCGAATGCTTTTTTCCGCCTAGCCTCTATCGAATCCTTCATCGCGAATCACTGAAAAAAAAAACAATGGTGCAGAGCAATGATTCCTTGGTTAAACATTGTCAATGCATTTCGGAGCACGAGAGCCAAATTTGCGCGTGTGATCAAGCCCGTTGAACATATAGCGCTGAAGTGACCCTTGATCCCAAGCGAATTGAATGGCGTCTGCCTTGAACAGGCGCCGCCAAACCCTCGTCTACAAAGTCTCCCTCCTTTCCGATGTGATTTTAACAGCGATCGACTGAGCCTATAGACACATACCTACCAAAGATACCGTTATTCATAATAATTAGCAATGTACATAAGAAATAAGCATAGAAATGGATCCAAATGTGAAGCGGACACTCTAGCAATCACAGGAATCAACCAAACGATTTACTTGCTATCTGTTGAACTCTCATCCTTTTGAGCAGTTGTTCCCGGACTTTTTTCTCGCTCCTTTTATACGACGCCACCGTGCTTTTCCGCAAAGGGAATCCAATCCTGAATACAAAATAAGTTGATACTTCAAGCGACAATACGGGTGCTTGCATAGTCGATATCCATTCGTACCGATCATGATATGCGCTATGTGGGGGGGGGCAGTCACCGCGCGCGGCAACAGGAAATTCGAACATTCCAGCTTCTCACGCATGTCATGTGACTGCCCTCACCCCCAACCCCCCTGAATTGGCTACACTCCCCCTGGCTCACGAATTTCCTGTTGCCGCACGAGCGCGCGCGGCGACTGCCCCCCCGAGGCATTGCGCCATTCATTCTCGAACGGAGACCTGTAAAGCAATTTGAATCACAGCCAAATTTGCGCGTGCAGTAGGGTGCCTGGTGTGTGCGCGCACCAATAACATCAAACATGACGGCTAATTTTTCGCGTGTAGGGTTACTGTACGTGAGCGCCCAAAGGGAACATTATAATCTTGTCCCTTCGAAGACCCCACTGAGCTCGACCAGCTCACCATGCTTCGTGGGCAAATTTTTCTGATGCCGTCCACGTAGGCCACTATGAAGATTTTCTTATGAAATGAAATGTGCTCTTCAACAATAAGTTGGGACCATTTGGTCTGGAATTGAGCAGAGAGTGATCTTAAATCCATCTGAATGTGGAGACAAAATGTCTTTTTTTATTGCCCCCCTGTATACTGTACCTGGACCTCGCTCCCAGCACAGTTCGCCACGAAACATTTGCGGTGAATTTGCTTGATTTTCGTGATGAATTTCCCAAAGGTGCCCTACCAATTTCCCGTCTAAAGCTGGTTTAAGAGTCTCTCACACACGCTAATATGTCCTCCAAGTAAATAAGGTTTTAGTCAAGGTTGAATTTCTGAGCACGCTGGAAATATCGGTTGCTGTTCTCCATCGAGTCGTAATTGCTTTCACCATCTGCAAGCACCTGAAAGGAGTACGGAGAGGGCAGATTCTTCACCGTCACGCAGCAAGCCAAACAGATAACTGAGGTTTTAAGCGCAGCTGTGCAACCAAACTGCCTCATTTCTCACATGAGTTATAAGGGCGAGAGCAGCAGACTTAAGCAAAAGAGGGCCTTTACAGCCAGGTGTAACACAATTGCGGAAAGTTATTACGCCTTCCTTGTACTGCTTTCAAATACGTCCTTCTCATAAAGGTAAATGAAATGAGCGAATGAACCTGCAAAGAATATTTTATCTCTTGTTTTCCCACATATCCTTATTTTCTGCTGCGCTACACCCTCTCTTTCCTATCTGGACGTGCGTCAGCCCACATGGCGACTACGACTCTCATGACCCACCCTGACAAGAACGACCTCCTGTCGAGAATTCCTCTACCGAAATTCACCCTGGGCGGAATTAGCAAAGGACTTCGTCAAAAACGCGCTAAATGGGGCCCTTTCTTTGCCCTCTGATAATGGACGAGCAAGTAACCAACTAAGGGGTCGCTTGCATATGTTGAACTTGTGGCAACCATTACGCCAGCACAGACCGTGCTTTAACCGATAACGATTGCATGGGAAGTTATAAGATAAAGTGGAATACCTTATTGGAATGATATGTAAGGATTCTACTACTGGGCGGAGCATAGCAAAGGCTTGACAGCCAGCGCCCTGCAACTAGCGTTCCTTCAGCCACGAAAAGGCTACGCCTCGGGTTCCTCGGCCCCTGGGTACTGCTCACAATGGTGCAAATCCTTCTATGCAGCACAAAGACTTTATCGTAATCTCTCGCTTCAAAGCTAATCAACTTAATTATAGTTCATTCAGTTTGATTACCTGTCAGATGTCAGAAAAAAATTTGAGCACCAGTCTACCTTTATCGTTCTAACTTATCGGAAGAAGGCTTGATTAACTGAAAGGTTTCTTTTTCTCGTTACGGAAAGGTCTTTACAAGATGCTTAAAACACTTCAAGTACCAACACTTCACCGTCGAAATCAGAGAAATTCTGGCGGGATCGCGCCTAAAACGAAAACTTTTGTTGAGTAGTGTCTCACCGGTGACATAAAGTTATTTATGCGGATGCTGTCTCACCATTCTATCCTGATTTGGAGGAATTTTCTTCCACTGTTTAATTATGCTTGCTTGTTATTTTCCAGCACAGCGTTGTGTACTTTTCGAATGCTTGTTTAAACTCTCATTGTCTATAGAAACCTGTTAATAACACTAAAGACAACTACTGCTTCAGCATGTGTACTGTTTTGCAATTGATACACAGCAAGGGACATGGACCTAACAATTAGTATAATAAATGACAGAGTTGTAACCAGAATTGTATAACAAAACAGATGATTTTCAGTTCAAAGTCATCAGATTCCCACACAATGACACAAATATCTCCATAAACAATAAAGGTTCCGTCATATACACTGAAACACTTAGAATAGCTAACACTTGTTCCGTTTTTGACACCTTTACTGATAAACTAACAGAATTCATAAGAGTGTTACTAGGAAATGGTTACCATGAGAACTTTATTATAACTAATATAGTTAAGTGCATTTATAAAAATAAGTTTATATGTTACAAATTTTCAATTGCTAATAATTATAAAAATATTAGTAAGTTAGTGGAAGGAATACTTCGTCACTAAAGTGCTATCTAATTGTTAGTGGAACAATTACAAACACCCACCTTTACACTTTATAGTTTTACATTTTTAATCAACTTATTTTTCATTCATTTAGTCAATATACAATTCATTTCATTGCATGCTCCTCTGCATGAAAGTACGTCACATCAAGGTTTATTCGTCTTTCCCCTGTGTCTTTATTTCGCCAATCCCAACTCACTGATGAGCTCCGGGGATTGACGAAATAATAAGGTTCGTCTGAGGAAGGAGCGAAACGAACCGTATCTATTATTTTGTTTATAATGGTTTTTCTTTCTTAATTGCTACAATGCAGCTGAGACATTATGCAACTCAAGAACTGGCCTTATGGTCACATATCTTGGCCCAGTCGACAAGCAGATCATCTATTCTAATTTGATGAACCAGAGAAGGTACCGAAAGGACAAGGGCAAAAGGGTCAAAACCACGTCACGGCGAATCACATTTCATCCACAAACACGAGTGCACCGTCATGTTAACTAGCTACACAACTTTTCAGAATCAGACGCCTCCAGCAGCATTTGCTCACATCGACGAACAAAAGGAAAAATCAATCCGAAAACCGGCGGACATCAAAAAGTACAAAATTCGACATAACTATTGTGTTGGCTTGTAAAACTGAGTACCTCATCTACTTCCAAATACTCATGAAAATTAAAACAAATAATAACAATGATGTAAAGAAAAATGAAATAGGAATATTTCTGCAACGATTAGTGGACACAAAACATATGCTCTCACAGCCCGTACGCATTGGCAAATTGCTCGAAACCACCTTTCTCGACTGGCGCACCATTGTTTGCCTGCTGTGGTGCTTGCTGATACTGCAAATTAGGCTAGAGGATGGATCTTGAACCCGGTCTGGGTATGAACTGGGTCGCTGGCTTGCGAGGACGAAGTTCGGGATGGACAAAGAACAGCATGTGTGGAAAGCCAGTCCCAAAGTAACTTCCATCTGTGTGTAAATGACGTGAAGACCGTGGAATGAATACGACACAACATCGCGGGCAGTACAGTTTCACCATCGCCTCTCCAGGAACATCGGGAAGTCTAATAGGAAGCGTTGTCTGATTCTCGCAGTATACTCGTGGACAAACGCCAAAATCGTGATCACGCCACTTCTCTACTATCTGTCTAATGCCTCTGCTGGTCAAAATGTATCTTGCATGAATCAACCCGTACAGAATTTTTGCTGCTTGATCCAGAAAAGATTGTTAACCGTATTGGAGCTTTGACTCAATTTTTGCGCAATATGACTGCTTGACGATTCCTGGTCCTTTTTGCTACAGTTTACCTTTTTCAAAATCCAACTGTCTTTTTTATCTTGTGGGAACATTAAGGTGAAAGCCTGATAACTGCGAATCAGTTTCATGAAGCAAAAATGAATTTCAACGAAGAAACACGGGGTGGCTGTATCATTTTTGAACATAGGAAAATCGACCTCTTCTGAAAAAATAAGCACAAAATTTTTTAGTTTTCGACATGGATTTTTGTGTTGATATCTGAACTCGCCATGAAATTTGTCACATTTTCTATCTGGACAGTTTTTCAGAAACTCTATGAACTTTAAGTTTTCGAACAAATTTTAGGTGGCTGTATCATTATTGAACGCAGTGTAGTCAGGGTGGTCGTGTCGAGTACGTGGTCGCAGAAGTACGACCCCCCTACCGAAATCGAGATCCTGGCACGACCCCCCAAAACAGAGCAAATTAATTCAATTAATTAATCAAAAAATCCTG